TATGTTCCCTCTTAGCGGTAGGTTGTAATTCCATAAATTTTTTTTTTTTTTTTTTTTCTTTCTGAGATGGTAAGAAAGTCACTATTTTGGGAATTTAATCAGCCATGATTCTTTTATAGAGTCTCTGGTACATTTTTGTAAAAGTTGTGTTTCTCTTTGTAGGCATAGATTCTTTTTTGTAAATCCAGTCATCTTGCTTGTAGGTTTCCTCTGTGTTTTCAAGGCAGTCAGGTCTTTTTCCCTCCTCTTTCCACGCTGTCTGGGCTGTTTCTCTCTTAGTTTTAAGCTGTTGCATCAGTATTTGGATTTCTGTCTGTACTGAGTGAAAAGCTTCTTCAACTGCTTTTTTTACGGCCACAGCAAGTGTATTTTGAACCATATTCAGGAAGTCTTACAAGGAAGTCTGTGTGGGTTTATTGTCCATAGATTCTGGTGTAGCTAACAATAAAGCCTGTGGAGTCTTTTGGAGTCTGTCAATACAAGTAATTTTTCCAAAAATGTGTTAAAACAAAAAGACTTTTTTTTTTAAATAAATTTTTATTAAATTTCCAACACATACATCATAAAACAACCACAAAACAAATATACAAACATACAGCCAAGTAAACCACCACCCAACTTCAGTTTGTTAATATTATTAATTTCTGTGTCACCAGTTTTAATACACTTCTTGTATAACATTTTCAATTACTGTTGCAATTCATCTTCTCTTTATAAATATACTTGATAAATAATAAAAGTAATCAACTCCTGATACTATATCCGGCTTAGTCTCCATATCTATTTTTGCCACTGATTTGTTTATATTTATTTAATTTCATTTAGCCTATATGATTGTAATCCAATTCGCCCTTCATTTAGAATTTGCAATACAAAAAGGGAATGTCTCAAAATTTTTTACCTCCTATCATTTGATTAACATGGGCAAAATACAAAAAGCAAAACAATTCCTCCAGCGATAGCCGCAATTTCCTGACATCTTCCAAAGATCAGAGATAAATCAACTAGGCAATTTCAAAGAATTTATTCCTATTAATTTTTTTTTTTAGCCTATGTTCTCATCATACATGTACCTCAACTAAGGTCCTAAACATATTCATTTAACTACTGCTATCTTCTTACAGAGTTTCCATCACAGAATCCTATTTCTTAAAGACAGCTTCTAAACAGCAAAGACATTTCATTACAGGTTTAATATTCCATTCATGTTAATTAGACAGATTCAATAGAGAGAGAGGGGGATAAATCCCATATAAAATATTTTGTAAAAGACTCTCTATAAATGTTTTCCCAAGCCACGTTTTACAAAGATAACAATTTTAGAGAGTGTATATCAACAACTATTGTGGTCCAGACAAAGCTAACATAGGGCAAAAAGCTTATTAGTTGTTTACATTCCAAAGCAATATAGTCAGGAAAAAAATGGAGTTTTAAAGTTTCAATAGAGATAAAGATACATTGTTATGGGAACTAAATATATAAAAAGTTCAGAATAAGATCCAATAAAGTATAAGCCTTTATAATTCAAGTATTAAAGTATAACACATCCAAAAGTTCAGTATTTGTTCCAAAGTCTTCATTAAAAAGGCAAGAAGATTAATTTGGCTCTCACTAAAGTTCAGAATCGTAAAAAGGATAATTCTTGTAGATATCAATAGACAGGGTGCTCTCTTGTTTTCTTCGCCCAGTAGATTATTTATACAATTATTTTAGATCCTTTCTCAGCCACGGTAAAGGTAAGGGGGGGGAGGCGGAAAAAGTTATTTACCCCTCCTTTCCGGTCTTTTTAAACTTTAAAAGGGCTGACGTTGTATAGTAGAGTTTCAGATAAAGTTGCTTTAAGAAATATGGTGATATGCTTCATCGATGTTGTGGATGAGCTGCAGACTTTTAAGTCCCTCTTAGTGGGTAGTGACAGCTAGGCACTCATGACTGCCATGAGTGCTTTTCTTCGTTTCTTACTAGGGACAATCCACAGGCTTCAACTCGCCTGTCGCCACAGGCAGTGGGCCCGGATTGCGTCCCTTGCACTGCACCCCCCTTCAGGGAGTGCAACGGAGCTTGGGAGCCCCCGAGTCTCCTCTAAAGATAACGAGAAGCTGGCCGTGCTGCAACCCAACACCCCCCTATCCTGTTCGTTAGATGTGAACTGTCTGTGCTGAAACCTGGGATGGTAACCAAAGGAAGTTACTCCTGAAAACATTAGCCTCTCAGCCTCTTGCAGGAGTTCCGTAGTTATGCAAGGAATGAAACGTTTTTCCTTTGGTGTTTCTGTCCTTAGTAGATGCAGATAGCATTGCTTTTTTTCTTTTACTTTGTCTCCACCAACACCTTATCAAGTGCCTTTTTTCCAAAGAGCAATGTGCCCAAGAATTTCTCTGTGGATAAATTATATTTAGAAAGAGGATCTACCCTCCAGTGCTTTAGCCACAAATTTCTTCTGGCCACCATGTTTGCTGCCTGCACTCTAGCGCAGAATTGCACAGTGTCTTGTGACATACCCGCTGCAAACTCTGCCAGATCTCCTATAGGTCAGGAGATCAGTCTCTATATCCTGTAGTAAATTGTCAGCCCAAATCACAATAGTTCTAGTAAAATTAGAGAAAACAGCTGAAGCTCTAACTGTGAGGAAAGACGCCTCATGAGACATTTAAAGGGCTGTTTCATTCTTTCTGTCTACTCCATCTTTTAGCACATTGTCTCCATCCTTTGAAATAATGGCCCCTGAATGAAGGGCAACTTCAGGAATGTCAACCAAGGGAACCTTGAGATCAGTTTTCAAGACATCATCAAAAATGTCAGGAAATGGACAGACCAAAGACCCTCTAGACAGTCTCTTAAACCTCCTTCCATCTAGCTTGGCAGAAGCTGATGAACTGGGTTTTTCAGGAATATCTATTTGATAGTTGAGAGTAGATATAACTTTCAGTAAAAGTCTTCGGTTGGAATAATCTGGATTAACTCTCCTGTGTATGAGTTCTCCCCTGACTATTCTCCCTCCTCCTTATCAGAGCTTGTTGCCATAGAAGCCTTTGCTGAAGGGTCCCTTCCATGTCAAACTATGAATCTGAGCCTGCTATGTTTTGTGCTTCACGATGCCTGGTCATCTAACTCACAGACCCCACAATGAAAGATGAAGATCAATCCTCTACGTCAGGGGTGTCAAACTCATTTGTTATGAGGGTCGGATCTGACATAAATGAGACCTTGTTGGGTTGGGCCATGTGTGTCATAAAATGTAATGCCAGGTAGCGGAGATATAAACTTTATAAAGGACACAAACACAAAGGTGGGTTTTTTTACTTAAAATAAAAACATGCTTAAAACATTAGCACTCTTGCAATATTATTTAACAGTGTCTGATAACTGACACCTCTTGCTCTGAATTATTGCATCAAAATGTCTGTGCTGTTGCAATCTTGAGTATGCTGTTCGGGTGTGTATCAGTAAGCTGCAAACCTATGATGACGCAACAGCAGCAAAACTGGAAGAAGCAGCAGAAGACAGCCAGTTCCACTGCGGGCCTGATAGATGCCCTCGGAGGGGGGCTGATTTGTCCCCAGGCCCGCATGTTTGACACCCCTGCTCTATGTCATAAGCCCCCCCCCCCGTATATTTGAGTATCTTCCACCTGGTATTGTTTTAGGCTGTTTTTGTCTGTGTAGCAGTGTGTCATCTTATGATAAGAGGGTCTGGGAGAGGGGGAGGGAGAACTCCTTCTATAAGCCCTTTGCTGTCTGGGCCCTTGGCCACCAGAATCTCTCTGAACCGCCTCCTGTGTTCTCTGCATGGTCCCCCACCCTAAGTCCCTGGAGTGCCTGTGGGTGGCACTAGCGACTGCATCAGAGACATCTAGGCTGATTTCCAGGCCTGCATAATACAATCTGCCAGGGCTGTATTAAAAAGAGCCGGCAAAAATGGTGCAGCCACCATATTAGGGCTTCCCGTGCTTTGCATACAAGCTAGAAAAATCGGGTGTGTGTGTGTCTGAAAGATGACTGCCATGCCACGTTTCCCTCAGTTTTATCTGAGCCACCCGATTTTCATCCCGATTGGTCTGGGGTGGTGGTGGATCCTCTCTTGCTTCCTGCTTCTATGCTCTTTCACAGAATTATCTACTGGAGATTCCCTCCCCCTTTTATCTTTACAGAAACAGACAAACAAAACCAGCCCTGTGCCTCCAAAGAACTTGTTAAGTTGCTACAAAGGCAAACAGGACTGACCGAAGTTGAAAACCTGACAGCTTGAGCAGCTTCACAATGCTACTTGGCAGCCCAGGGCAGGGGAAGCATTGCCCCTGCTGGGAAATCCCAGAGGGCCTGACAGTCCGGAGAGAGCAATGCACCCTGGGAAATCTGGGGGGTGGGGCTTGAGCCCTGCTGCCCCTTGTAGTTTATACGCCTGACACAAATGACCAACTGAACACCAACAGTTCCAGATAAGCAACCTGTTTTTATTTGTACAATGGTATCTAAAAGTCAGGGAGGCATAATGGGACAAGTCTAATTTACCCTAATCAAAAATTCATTAAGGCTAAATTGTACTCTTGTATATGGTTGGGACTTGGGGCCATTTTAACGTTATGTAATGGGAAAGATCCCAGGATAGAATTCTTAAATTCATTTTAGGTACCCCAAAATAGTCTTCAGTTCTCTGATCAAAAACTGGCATGCTCCCTACAGTTTTGAGAACCTATTCTTGTATTTTTAGTTACTTGATAAAAAAAAAAAATTCAATGTATACAGAGAGATTACTTCAACTCTACCACTATAAGCAGTGTCCTTTTAGTTCCCCAGGGTGTGTGTCCTGGTTGTATCAAACTGAACATGTTATATAGTAGAACGGATTCATTTAAAAAATACGGGGTTTTTTGCTATAGTGGCCAACCCCCTCCTTGCAAACAGAGTATTACACTGCCTTTATACAGCTTGATTGAAGTCAAATCTTATCCTTGCTATTGTATCCTGAAATTTCATCACAACTAAATAAATCATACTTACAGTGGCTCTTCTCTCACACTTCTAATGTTGGCGTGTGCATCTTCCTGTTCGTTCATTTTATCCACTGCTTGTGCTTGTTTTTCAATCTCATTAAAACTCTTGCTGCTCATTTTCTGGGCCCTCAAACCACCTTTCTTGGCCCCAAACTTTAAGAAAAAATAGTTTTACTCTTATGTCAATCAGTAATTTAAGCCAAAATTGGAAATAAATAGGTAATAAAATACAGGTATGCAAATAGGCTGAAATGCAAATACGCAGTCATTTTAGGCAAAATGGAAAGCATTGTTCCAGTGATGGGAAAGTGAAGGTGCATGAAAGCCTAGTTCAGATATCTCAAGCAGGAGATGGCTTGGTCATTGGGAACATGAGGCAGTCCTGTCCTGTAACCGTTGTTCATCAAGTGTCTTCCGTGTAGTCCCGCATTGGGACTGCTTCCGAGTAGGCCTGCTGTGGAAAAGTCTATTCCAAAGCTAAAAAGTCCTCTAGAGGGTGCTCCTCCTCTCTCCCACCATTGTGAGACATCCCTTTCCTGCCCAAAGGATGGTCACATGGCATGGATGGTCACTCATCTCAGTTCCACCTGAGTCGCCATGAATGTCAGAAGAAAAAATGTCCTGAGAACCCACAGTGGAGCAGGTGGGGGGAATGCGTGCCTGCACAGAAGACAATGAGCAAGAGAAACCCTGTTTTCATCTTCAGTCTTCTGTGCAGTCCCCCACTGGAATGTTACTAAACTAATAATCTAGGAGGTGGGATGAGGTTCTCACCTTAATATATCACTTGGACAGACTACAGGATGGCCTTGCCAACCTCTGCTTCTCATCCTGCCTGTAGATCCAACATGTAGTAATTCGCAAAAGTATCCAAAAATGACCAAGTAGCTGATCTGCAGTGGGACATTGCAGGAGACGAAGCTTGGGCTGTGGTAGAATGGGCTCGAATATGCAGAGGGGAGGGTAACCCTGCCCGTCTGTAACAAGTCTGGATGGTAGAGACAATCCACCTGGATATTGTCTGAGGGGTAACTGATTTGCCCTTGTTTCACCCCGTGTGCAGATTAACACACTTCCTAAATGGTTTAGTTCTCTTCAGGTAGAAAAGTAGTGCCCTTCTAACATCTAGTATGTGAAGTGCCCGTTAAACCTAGAGAGATGGTGTAGGGGAAAAACCAGGTAATACTATGTCTTGCAGCATGTGGAATGCAGAAAATATCTTGGCTAGAAACTCTAAACTGGGATGAAAGACTATCCGTTCAGCAAAAAAACTTCAAAAATGATGGGTCAAAGCACAAGACAGCTAATTTTCTGACCCTCCAGAACAAAGTTATGGCCACTAAAAACAGACTTTAACTGAAAGCAGGTCCACAGGGCAGGTGGGGAGTGGTTCAAAAGACTCCAATGTCAGTTATGAAAGTACCAGTAAAAGGGACCATTGTGGTATTAATGCAGGATATATTCAATGACCCCTTCAAAAATTGCTTAGACAGTCAATGTAAAAAGAATGTTTGGCCCTTCTCAAGGCAGTGGAAAGCAGATATGGCTGCCAAGTGCACCTTCACTGATGAATATGTCAAACCCTAGGATCTGAGGGCAAACAATTACTGCAACACTACTGAGATAGGACACGAGGTTGGAGAATGGCCCTCAGAGTGTGCCCATAGCTCACAACACTTCCATTTACAGTTATAGGATCTTCTGGTGAATGCCTTACATGAATTGAGTAATGTGTTGAGGTAAAGTCATCTGCTCATCAACCACCATGCCATGAGGTGGAAGTGGGGAATATTGTGATGAAGCAATAGGCCCATTCTTAACAAGTGTGGGGCAACAGGTAGGTGAATATAGATTCCTCTGGATCCCTGAAGAAGAGGAGCAAACCATGCCTGGTGAGGCCAAAACGGTGCTATGGGGTTCGCTTTTATGACCTGTGTGCCAGCTGCTGCCGCATTCCTTTCTTTTCGCTTCTCCCCCTTGTTATCACTGACCTTGTAGCCAGCCTGTGTAGTGTCTTCCTATCAATTAACCGTGAGACTAGTTTTGTTTCCCAGCCTCGGCTCTAACTGCCTTGGTCCTCTTTCCCGCCTGTGGGAGTTAGGCCAATTGGCCCATAGGTGTGTGTGGGGGGGTGCATTTGAATACCCTATACCTCTCTCAGCTTTCTATGGTGTAGTTATTCCTAACAGTGACTGTGTCTATGCTACCACAGTGCTATCAATAAAGTATAACCTTCGAAGAAGCGTGTGCTCTGTTGTTTGACTGTGGGTCCTGACATTCTGTTAGGAATGCCAGGAGGCATTTGACTGACTTAAGGCATTATTCACGTCAGAACCAGTGGTTGCCCACCCGGATGAAAATAAAAAGTTCATAGTCCAAGTCAATGCATCAGATGTGGAGATGGGAGGGGGGCGATCCTGCAAGAGGGGGGCGATGGGTTGTTACACCCCTGGCATATGTCTCCCGTAAGTTTAATGAGACCAAGCGCAATTTGGGACAAGGAGGCGGGAGCGATCCGATAGGCGCTCTCGACCCGGAGACATTGGTTGGAAGGGGCCCAGGTGCCGTTTGAGGTCTGGACTGATCATAAGAACCTGGAAATGCTCAAGACCCCCCCTCCCCCGTAATCTTAACGCCAAACAACTACAGTGGGCCAATTTCTTTTCCAAGTTTCAATTCACGTTGCACCATTTCCCGGGCTCTGCGAATTCGCTGGCGGATGCACTATCTTGCCTCCCACAACATGACAGCCAAAGGGAGGTGGTACTAGACTCTATGTTCACGCCCTCACATCTTGGGGGGACGGTGACGACTCGCAGCCGTGCAGCTTCCTCCCCTCCAGACCAGATCTCCGGACACCACCCCTCCTGTTCCTATGGGCGGGGCAGACTGGAATGTCAGGTTTGCCTCCGCCTTTTCGAATGCCAACAAAGAGGAGGTGGGAAATGTGGGGGGGGGGGTGGAAAGGAAAGCGGATGGTTGCTGGTACTGTGGCACAAAACTGTTTGTACCCAAATCATTGCGAGGGGAAGTGCTTGCAGTGGTTCACGGCTCCAAACTCGCAGGGCACTCTGGATTCGTAAAATCCCTGCATCTGTTGCAAAGACAATTTTGGTGGCCTCTTATGCGAAAGGATTTATCTTCGTTTGTTCAGTCTTGCCAAATTTGTGTCATGTGTAAACCCCGCCCTGGCAAGACTCCGGGATTGCTGAAACCTCTCCCGACCCCGAGTCACCCCTGGGAGGTGATCTCTATGGATTTCATCACGGATTTACCCCCTAGTAAAACCATGACGGTCATTTGGGTGGTGGTTGACCTGTTTTCTAAGCAAGCCCATTTTATCCCGTTTGTGTCCTTGCCCACCGCCAAGGCTCTAGCAAAGGCCTTTATGCAACACGTGGTGCGCCTCCACACGCTCCCGGGCAAGATTATCTCCGACAGGGGGACGCAATTTGTTTCCAAGTTTTGGGGGGAATTATTGAAACTCATGGGTGTTGAACGGGCCATGAGTAGCGCCTATCATTCAGAGACTGATGGACAGACCGAGCGAGAGAATCAGACTTTAGAACAATATTTGTGTTGTTTCACCAATTACCAGCAGGATGATTGGGTAGACTTACTTCCCCTGGCTGAATTTTGCTATAATAACACGTGTCCCTCCTCTACGGGAATGTCCCCGTTCAAAGCGCTGTATGGCTATGACAGCCCCCCATTGCCCCATTACCTTGGGCCCGGGGGATGCTGAACAATGGTGTCAACAACTTCAAGACTCTTGGCCTTTATTGTGTAAAACATTGGAAACAGCCAAAGAGGCTTAGAAGGTTCAGGCTGACAAGCGAAGGATGGAGGGATGGGCTCTGCAGCCTGGGGACTCCGTGTATGTATCAACAAAAAACATTAAGGTGTTGAGACCCAGCCGCAAACTGGGTTGGAAATTAATTGGCCCGTTTAAAGTCAAACGCCTGATCGATGAGGTGGCCGTGGAGCTTGACCTTCCTAAGAACATCCGCAATATCCATTCTATGTTTCATTTCAGCCTCCTGAAACGGGACCCAGGCTGAAGCCCCTGGCGGCCAACAAAGCCTGTACCCCCTCCTATCATGGTGGAGGGCGGAGAACATTTTGAGATCTCAAAGATCCTGGACTCTAAAGTTAAACGTGGCAAACTGTTTTATTTGGTGGAATGGTTGGACTTTGGACCCCAGCACTGTGAATGGGTGGAAGTAGGGGATATTCGGGCCCCTAGGCTCTTGCAAGAGTTTCACTGGGAGTTCCCGGGGAAACCGGGAGATATCCCGGGCTAACCAGGAAATCTCCCAGGCTAACCGGGAGATCTCCCGGGCAGCCCGGGAGGTTGTTCTTTGGGTGGGCAGAATGTCAGCTATGCTGACATATAGTTTATGAGCCCGGGTTCGCTTTCATGACCTGTGTGCCAGCTGCTGCCGCATTCTTTTCTTTTCGCTTCTCCCCCTCGTTATCACGGACCTTGTAGCCAGCCTGTGTAGTGTCTTCCCATCAATTAACCATGAGACTAGTTTCGTTTCCCAGCCTCAGCTCTAACTGCCTTGGTCCTCTTTCCCGCCCATGGGAGTCAGGCCGATTGGCCCATAGGTGTGTGTGTGGGGGGGTGCATTTGAATACCCTATATCTCTCTCAGCTTTCTATGGTGTAGTTATTCCTAACAGTGACTGTGTCTATGCTACCATAGTGCTATCAATAAAGTATAACCTTTGAAGAAGCGTGTGCTCCGTTGTTTGACTGTGGGTCCTGACAGATTGGTTCTTCTTAACTGGAGGCTCTTTAACACTTTATGGAACCGAAGGAACTGGAGACAATGAATGATGCCAAGTTGGTTTGGAACTGGTAGCCGACAGAACCGATGCTGTCATGGATCGAGAAGTGGTTGGAGGGGTTGCCTTAGGAGATTTATCGGAGGAGATAAGAGCCTTTTCCCACAGGGCTGTCTTCAAACAGAAAGCCCTGTTTCTCTGTGCTTTGGGGGTAAACTGCTGACAAATGAGGCAAGTCCCCACATTATTTACCTCTCCAAGGCAAATGAGGCAAAGACTATGCTTGTATGATTGTGGCATTTTGGTACCACATTTCGAGCACTTCTTGAATAGAGCCTTTTGGGCCATTAGGAATCGGAGGGCCAGGAGTAATGCCCACTTAGAATGAGGCTGGGAGCAAAGGCCGCCCAGAGCCTCCAAGAAGAGCAGCACAAAAGAGTGCACAACTTTCCTTATCTGCCCGGAATGCAGTAAAGTGATGTGTTCCAAGGGAGAAAAAGAATTACCAGGAACAAGATGACTAATCTCGCTTTTCTTCTCTTTTGTTTTTGTCTTCAAGGAGGAGCAACACTGGATAGAACCTCTCTCAACAATGGCAAAAAAGGAACTGAGGTGAGTGGGTACTATATGATCCTTGTACCATATGTACCCTTGTACCATATGATCATCCTTTGGGCTAGAAAGGGACATCTCACAAAGGTGGGAGGAAGGAGGAGCACCTTCTAGAGGACTTTTTAGCTTTGGAATAAACTTTTCTGTGGAGGGACTGCACAGAAGACTGAAGATAAACTCAAGTTACCCCTTTAGGAGAAAAGATTTCTGGACTAGTTCCATATCCTCATCCAGTTTGTCGCTATAGGCACAGAAAAGCAGGCTTCTGAATTTTGTGCCTAGCTGGATTAGGCAACAGCATATAACATCCAGCTGGGCCATACAGAGATTTAAAAAACTTTTAAAAATACCAATTAGGACGTTGGGAAGGAAATGAGATGCTGGGATCCATTTTCTCTATTCCGAGCAGGCAATTAGCTGAATGTCTGCTTTTAAAGAAAGGCTATACATGTGTAGCTCTGGCTGCTTCATGTGAGCTTCTCTTACATCAAAGACTCAGGATTTATTCTGGATTTTTATACTTAATTATCAAGCAGCTCTAAACCCATTAATGCTAAAACACATACACATCATGGAATAACTAGAATTCATACAGGCAAAAATAAATACATAAAAACAAGACAGTCACCTACCCCCTTTTTCATTTGATTTGGTTTTTTCTTTATCATGGAGCCAATGTCTGCAAAGATGAATGCATATTCTATTATAGTCCACATAGTACTATGACAAACATTATAACAACTACAGTATGTGCAGAACCATAATTAAATATCCATTTTTCCACCCTTTACTTTGCTTCTATGAAATATAACAATCTCATTAAGAAAGTCAGGAATATGAAATAGAATTAGGTTTTCTCCATAAAATGAAGGAAAGTAATATTGACCCAATGCTGAAAAACTGTCCCCTCGAAGATGCAGCAGATTTGCTGAATTTTCCATGTGTTAAATTAGAAAAACCTTTAGGCACAAGCTTTGAAATGAAACTTGTATTTTAAGCCTGCATTTTAATAGAGTCTTCTCCGGTATTTTTAAGAGTGAGTCATTAATATGATTAGGGAAATTAAAACCAATTTAAAAAGCTACAAATCTTTTAAATGTTGTCATTCTCAAGAGATTTTACAATATCAGTATTGAACCGATTTATTCCAACAAAGTTAAAACATAATGTTAAAACATAATGAATGCATTGTTCATTCTAAAAAGTGCTGAAGGGAGCATGAATGCATTGTTCATTCTAAAAAGTGCTGAAGGGAGCAGGGATAGACATTTTTGCACAAAACACTGAAGGCTGGATGCTGAGATAATTGTCCCTGCAGCAGCCAAGCCAAGAACATCTGAAGGCACATGGCTGTCTCACTGTGCTCCTGGGAGCTCAGCAGGACCAGGCTTCCCTGTCCCAGCAGGGAGCTCTCTTCTGGTACAGATGTATTTCTCCCTGCTGGGAGGCCGCAAAGGCCACTAGCAAGGACCTTAACCAAGGACCAATTGCAGACCGTTTACTTTGGAGGAAGAAGATAGTTGTTTGCTTCTAATCCTCTGAGACATGATATTGTGTACACTTTTTTGACAATGTTCAATATGAACAATAATCAGTTTAGCATTTGCACTTATTAATAAGCTGACTATATTTTATAAACTTTTTTTTCTCTTGCATATACTGGATCCTAGATGCTTGCACTCAGATGCTGCTAATTGTGATAATTTTGCTGGTTTTGCAAAGGAACTTGAAGTCTCTAATTCACAAGACTTTGCCAAGTTGCATATCCACTTTTAGAATCAAGATGCTGTTAATTTAAAGTACTGGGTTATATTGCAGGTGCCCTACAGAGCCCCAAAGCTGCTAATTATAATGAATCTGCTACTTTGGACACAGAAACTTGCAGGCCGTCAAGATAGCTGATTTGAATATGGATTTTGGAATTCTGATACTGCTAATTAAAAACACCCCACAGTATTGTACACATTTTATAATTCTGAGGCTTTGCACATGTGTTTCTTCTTCTCCTGCCGCCAGTTTAACAAGATACTGGTTGAGAGGTTCTTGACATTCTGATGCTATTAATGAAGGAAAGCTTTTTTAGAAATTAACTGTATCAAAAATATATGGCAAGCTTATGTGTATTAATTTTTCGACTACAAACAATTAAAGCCCATGTGATGTAGTGGTTAGAGTGCCAGATTAGGATTTGGGACACACAGCTTTGAATCCCCACTCTGCCATGGAAGCTTACTTTAGGCCAATCATTTTCTCTCAGCCTTGCCTACCTCACAGGGCTGTTGTCAGGATAAAAAGGAGGACAGTGATGTAAGCTGCTTTGGGTCCCCATTGGGGAGAGAGTAAATATATTAGGTAAATAAATAAGAAAAGATATTGAAAAGCTGTTTGTTTTTGAATGAGCTTTATATATTCCAAATTTAGACATTGTGATGACTAGTACTTAAAATTTAGAAGCTGTTAACTCGAAAAAATCTCGATGCTTTGCATAGCTGTTTCCCTCTTTTTTGATTTTTTCTTTCTTTAGGGGGCTGTTAAACCATTTGGGTTATTTAATATAAGAATGTATCATTTATATTTATATATATTATATATCTGGATTTATGATTTCTTGTTGTCCTGCAATTTTGGAAACTTGAAACCAGTTAATTGAGTTAATGATCTTGGAGTTTTCTGTACAGTTATTATATAAGATTCAGTAGAAAAGAGCAAGAGTCCAGTAGCACCTTAAAGACTAACAAAATATGTGACAGGATATGAGCTTTCATGAGTTACTGCTCAGTTCTTCTGGTCTGATGAAAGTTCATACCCTGCCACACCGGGGTTAGTTCGAGCCGGAGCGCACAGGAGCGGTGCTCCAGCAGTTAACAAGCCCAGGTGGTGGCAGAAAGCCCTGCCTCCAGCTCCCAGCAGCCCTTAGTCGGGCTTGAAGGAGCTCAAAGAAAGCACGTGTAGCATTCCTCGATGGCTACCATGCGAAGAACTTGCCAAGAATGCAGAACGGAGGGGGTGGAAGAAGCAGGTGCGCGCCCTCGTTTCTCCCCCTCCCCCAAGATTTCCCTCTAAGGTAGAAGGCGGCCGTTGGACAGCTGCATGTACTTGTTTCTCATTCAGTCACCACATGGCAAACCGGATGCCAAGAAACCCAGCCGAAGGCCTTGCTATGCTTGGCCAAGAGTGAACTCTTTTTCTGCAAAGGGCTGAAGCCAGCCCTAACTCCCCCCATCCCGCCAACACACACACTCCGCCCCCCATCTGTGGGTCATGTTTACTCGGAATAAAAGCCCACTGTCCTAAACGGTGGAGGGGGTGACTTGCGAGCAGATACATTAGAATTTCAGGCTTACAGTCCAAACCTGTGTACAGTTACTCAGAAATTACTCAGCAGGGCCGCTTCTCCTAAGTACCCACAGGATTGCTACCATGCGTCGAGCGGCACAGTGTTCCCTGATCTACAAAGGGTGCTTTTTTTAAAATCAAGATGCAGCTGGGAAAGTTAACTGTGTGCCTTCCCCTCCTCCTCCATCCAGCAACCAGAGAGAAGCTCCCCTCTACCTCCCTCCCCCCCCTGCAGAGAGGATCTTCCACTTACTCATGACGAAGGAAGAGGTGTCAAGAGTTCAACTCCCCCAAAGTTTGCTTCCCATTCCGACAGCACAGGGAAAAGTGAAATCCTGGAGGGCTGCTGGGAACCAAGCCCAAAAGCCAGCAGGTTGGCGCTTTCTTGCCCTCGGCTGGCGCCTGGGAAGGAAGCATGTTTTGCATTCCAACGCCTGGTTCTCAGATCACAGCCCCGGGGAGAGAGGCTGCTCTGCTCAGCTTCCAGAGCCCGGATCCCGAGCTAGCATCCTGGATTCCTTTGTAGCCCCTCGAGAGGCAGCCGCTGCCACCAATATTACCTCCTTGCAATCCAGGGGGGAGACGCAAGACCCGGGTCCCCCGCGGAGGGTAAGGTCAAAGGAGCTGGAATTTTCACCAGGAGGCTGGAGTCCCTAAATCCAGCACAAATGGCTTGTGTAGTATCATAATCCCTGCAAACAGTTTGCAGGCTTGGTCCTGTACTAAACGTATATGAATAGTCTGGTTGACATCTAGCTACACATTTGTATTCATTTATTCCAGGTATAAGCTTATTTGTCATTTATGGTCCACTTCTCTCATTGAACTATGTATTATTTATAGAGGTACTGTATTATTTGTATAGAAGCCCTAAAAACATCTGGGCAGCTTACCATGTGCTTTATTGGGGATGGGGGAGGAAGCCTAAGTAAAAGAACTTGCTGTTCAGAGATTAAAACTGTTGGGAAGTGTGCCACCTCATCCCCACCCCAGATATTACTGGCTGCTATGTTTTGGGATACTTTTTACAATATTCAAAGATTCTTCCGGGCTCTGTATTTTGTTGTAGCAATTTCTATCCTTGTGGTTAACTTACTATTGTGTAGTGGGTTGCCGCATGGAGAGACGACAGACGACGACGTAGTGCATAGCACGCTTTATTGGTACACAACAAGAACGGGGGAACAACGGCCCGGGGGCCAACTATATACATCCCTGGGGACACACCCCTGATCACCATTGGTGGGTTTGAATCTCCCGCCATGGTTCCCATTGGCTCCCCAGTGGAGGGACTAGGAGGCTAGTCCCTATTGTTATCCCAGAGTCAAGCTCTGGCAGTTCTGGCTGACCGCTGGCCCCCCGGTGGCGGTCTGCATACACAACACTTACCATAATTAAAACTCAAACAGAATATTGGGACTACTGAGGAAAGGCTGAACAGCTGTACTTCAGTTGATACAAAAAAAAATGAGCTCCTGCACCTCTTTTTCTACAAAATGACCCCTGCTGCAACATATTGTGTTAGTCTTTAAGGTGCTACAGGGCTCCTGCTCTTTTCTGCTGCTGCAGACAGACTAACACGGCTACCCATCTTGATTTATTTAAGACTCAATTTGAATTATTTAATCTGGATGAATTCTATTCTTCATGAGACTGATTTAAACAATTATAAAACAAGGTACAAAAATCATCTTTGGGGAGGTATCCCACTGATTAAATGGAGAAGGTTTATTAAAGAGGTTTCGGTATTTCCCTAAATGTAGGGATCACAGTAAAATGCATGTGGAAGAAGAAATACAAGACCCTCAAAAAGGTTATCCAAAAATGGTTCCCCTTTATACAGTTTTGGAACTAAAATAATCCAGTAGATAAAATTCAGAAACAAGTCTTAGAACATATTTAGAGGGGCTTTTTTTCCTTTAGTGATTTATGTCTACGTTCTTTATTTATTGATGACAATGATGTATATGAAATGCAGATATATTTTGTTCATGATTAAATGTGTTGTTTTGAAACTTATGTCAACACTGTTAGTTATGTAGAGATGCATTTGGATTATTTTGTATGTTTATATAAATATTTTTGTTGGTTTGTTGGTTGGTTTGTTTTCTTAAATTTAAGTACCTAGTGCCTAGTGCCCCTACATTCCCAAACGTATGTTGGCCCTGTCAGCTCTGATCAGTTGCTCAGGTGAGAAGACCAAATCCAGGTGCATACTCCACCTTCAACTGGTCAGAGCCAAAATCTGTTTGTTGGCTGTATCTGAGCATCTCAAAGCAAAGATCAACACGCTAATTGCTAATTTTGTAATCCACCTTGAGTCTCAGCAAGAAAAGCAGCCTATAAATAAGAGGAAGGAAAGAGGTTGCCATTATAAAGTTCTTTGGATAACAGAAAAATCAGTTGTTTGACAAAAATACTTAAGAGTTTATATTCTATAAGTAAAAGATTAATTTGCTTAAAATGATTCTGAAAATTATGAGAACTGCTGTAGTACTCTATTCCACAGATGCACTAAACGTGGAAACCAAAACATCCAAATAGGATATCTAAAATGTCCACAGTCACCTTTGCTAGGTGTGGTACCTGAAGCATTTATATTCTCCAAGGTGGCTAAACAAGACAGAAAAAACAAGCATACATCACTAACTAAATAGGTCAATAGGTATCTGATGAATGTGCATGCACATAAGAGCTTATATCCAGAATTAAACTTTGTTGATCTTAAAAGGTGCCACTGGACTCAAACTTTATTCTAAACAGGTCAATGTTTTACATAAACAACTGAATTTCTATTAGATAACCGCAGACAAATTTACATAACAGGGTAAAAATGCAAGGGGTACAGTCCCTAGAGGAATGCACAACTTCAGAGTGCAGGAGAGGAAAGTTGCATGCCACAAAATCCACTGCTGCAGAAAACTATGCCAATTTGTCTGGTATGTTGGTTTTCTGTGCAGAGTGTTTTTCTGTGTGGGAGCATTCAGACACTCAGTCCCCTTGTTTGAATTCTGAATTGGTAGAGCTCCAGGAGGACTGTATCAGATTAAATAAGAATTAGCAAATAAGCATCAGGAATGAGGTCCAACAATCACAGATTGATAGCATATCTGGTTCAATTTGCACTAGTACTCAAGAGGCCATTCAAGAACTAAACCTCTACCATGTAGTGGGATTGGTGCCAGTCGTCCAATGCTCAAAAAAACATATAACTTCAATGAGACTACAAATTATGGAAAGAACGGGACATCCTAAAGACACCCCACAGTACAAAGTCACCTATGTCTGGAAAAATCATAGTATCAGAGTTGGAAGGGTCATCTAGCCCAATCCCCTGCACAATGCAAGAAATTCACAAATACCCCCACCCCACCCCAGTGACCCCTGCTCTATGCCCAGAAGAGGGCAAAAAACCCCAACCCTTCAGGATCCCTGGCCAAACTGGCCTGGAGAAAAATTGCTTCCTGTCTCCAAAGTTGCAATTAGCATTTCCCTGGGTATGTAAGAAAGGGCCACAAGAACTAAGCACTGATGCAATCCTTCCTGCCCTCCCTTCTTGTGATCTTCCCAAGTTCACAGCATCAACATTGCTGTAAGTTGGCCATCTAGTGTCTGTTTGAAAACCTCCAAAGGAGAGCCCACCACCTCCTGAGGAAGCCTGTTCCAATGAGGGACTGCCTTGTCAGGAAGTTCTTCCTAATGTTTAGCCGAAAACTCTTTTGATTTAATTTCAACCTGTTGCTCACAAGTAGCGATACACTGCCATGACTGTACAATATCTAGCATACACCCCAAACTACTTTTATTTAAGTTATGCCCAGTGTTCCCTCTAAGCTGAGTTAGTGTGAGCTAGCTCACAGTTTTTTAGCCTCCGGCTCACACATTTTTGTCTTAGCTCAGGGAGGATGGCTCCAGAGCAAACTAATTTATGCAGCAGCCAAATCACTCACTCAGAATTTTAATGCCAGCAACTCACAAAGGAGAATTTTTGCTCACAAGACTCCACAGCTTAGAGGGAACATTTATTTATTTTTATTTATTTATTTATTTATTTGATTTGCTATCCCGCCCTAACCCCTAAGGGTCTCTGGGCGGCTTACAGAGAGTGCCTCCAGCAAAACTGGCTACTCTGTGGACTGATATGCCTGGATTCAGGACTGAATTGAAAACCCAGCTAAAACAAGACATCCTAGCCATTCTTTTGTTAAAGAAATACACAAACTTTCTATTTTTGCTGTGGATTGATTACCTAATGAAGCTTGTGGAGACACACTAAGACAATCAACACTTGGTCCATGTTCAGGTTCTTCTAGAAATACAAGAAAATTGAGAACAAAAGAATATGTTTTAGAATGATTATGAAGAACTTCTTGTTACAGAGATAATTTTCTCAGCCCCTAAACCCTCTAAAAATATTTGGAATAGTCACCTGACATGAAGCTGCCTTATACTGAATCAGATCATCAGTTCAGACCATCAGTACTGACCACTCAGACTGGCTTCGATCTCTAGTACCAGATCCTTCTCACTGGAGACACCCAGGATTGAAACAGGAACCCTCTGCTTGCCAAGCAGATGCTCTGTCACTAAGCTATGACCCCACCCGAGTTTGGACTATCCCTCTAAAAGCCCATTTCAGACCAGCTTTCTCCCACAGTCCATTAAAAGAACCAAACTACAACATTTTATTATGTTGATTGTATTTTATCTATTTTAAGGCTGTAAATCACCCAGAGCCCACTTGCAGGGTTGGGCGATACATTAATCTAATAAAATAAATAAATAAATAAAAATAAATAAATAAATTAAATAAATAAGAGGCTGGAATTGAAAGTTTGCAGATTTTCAGATTTATGACTACATCCAAATGTTGGTAACCGAAATGCTTTTGGCAACTATGCATATTTTAGTGGATAGATCAAGTTGTATTTCAATTTTATAATATCATGGTCGTTTGCATACAGCCACTGTAAAACACTCATTTTTTGCACAGGCTTGCTACATTGTCATCTGTGAAACACAGCTACCCTTAGTTTAGCCTCTCTTTTCACAACGTTATGCAACAACAGAAATTAAGGGCATGAAATAAATGGGACCTAAATATCTTAACTTTGAATGAACTGCGCACCCTCAAAAATTCAATCAACCAATCCTCTAGTGTTATAAAGGTTAACATTAAAAGTATACCTTTTTTGAGTTCTGAAGAACACTGATTTAGATTAATTGTCTCTGATTGAGATGATAACCACTGGGTACTAATAACCTGCAAAAAAAGGGGAAAAAAGAAAAAAAGGAAAATAGTGCCTATTTTGGAATACACCCAAAGCAAATCAGAACTAACACATGGGAAAATCTCAGTGTTCACGAAGTTGTTTAGTTTAGTTGGGCCATTCACATGCATTAGACAGCTAAACTCTTGTAACTACAAGTCCTTTTCATTCAATGACCTAAGAGAAAACAGACAAATCATACAGCAGGAACGAAGTAATGAGAAAGATTAAGTTTCAGCTATGGAAAAAAACTAAAGCAGTTGTGGCTAGGGATGTGCGCTCAGATACACTTGAGTTGAAAATAAACCAGAAATTAGCTGTTTCAGCTTAGTTCCAGGATATCCAAAATGACCTCAAAGACTCCCAAATTCTGGGAGAAATTAAAATGTATCTCCCAGAATTTCAGGAGCATTTTGGGTTTCAGGGGCCAGAAGCCAAGTGCAAAAGATACGAAGCTGATCTGCTAAACATCTGTTGGGCATTGTCTCTATCCCTTTGAAATTTAAAGGGACTGGAGACGCTGCCTGACAGCTCATGAGGAACTGACCTCAGAGCTAAGTCTACCACTCATAGGATATAATGGAGACAGGTTTACCTATAAAAAAGAATGTCCCCATTATTTCCTATGGGTAGAACTGTTCTCTGTACTGTGCCTAGGAAATAATGGGCCAATTATTTCCTATGAGCAGTAGACCTGTCCTCTTTACCATCCATGGGTAATAATGGTTCTATTATGTCTGATGCGTGGTAGGACCTAGGCTCCAAGTCCAGGTCTACTGTACTCTCTGATTTTGGAGGCCAGGTTTTCCCACAGAAAATAATAGCATTTTATTTGGGATTTATCTATTTATTATGGGGGAGATGCCACCAAATGGTTGTTTGGCAAGAGCAGATTCTCCTCTCTCATTTCCTCCATGCTCCTGCTGTAGGGGGAGGGAAATGGGATTAATAAAATGTTCCTAATTTTTAAAAATATTTTATTGATATATTAAAGTTTTACAATGGTATACGAGTCTTGCAGCAGCTATACATCAGTGCTGAATATGTATATATATGTATATTAAACATTTGCTATATAAAACACAATGCAATAAATATACAGTTAAGTTACAGCAACATCTTTTATGAGCGACTTGAGGGTTGTCTTTCACTCTGTAGTACTATTTATTAAAGTAAATAGATGCTAAGTATAAAGTCTTATTGAAAAGGAAAGAAGAGGGAAAGAATAGTTGGCATTTTAAGAAGAAAGCAATTGCTGATAGACAGAAGTCGGAGGTGAGAGGTCTTGCGAGAGTATGTGTTCAAAAAAGGGGGACCATTTTTCTGCAAAAGATGTTGTTTTGGGGAAGATGTCTGTTTGGTGAATGCGATCTGTGATTTTCTCCATTATTAAATAGTCCCATATTTTTGTGTACCAGCTGGATATTGTAGGGCTTGACGGAGATTTCCAGTGTGCCGCTATGGTTGTTTGTGCAACTGCCAGCAAGCTGTGGATGAGGTCCCATCTGATTCTCGGGATTGAAGGATTGCACCCATGGCGTAAGAAAACCAGCTCTGGTGACAGTGATATTGTGTATCCTGTTATATAGTTGATTTGTATAAGAACATTGTTCCAGAATTCCTGTATTCGGGGGCATCACCACCATCAATGTGCATATGAACCATAATTACTGCATTTCTTCCAACAAAGCCGGGAGTTTGTGGGAGATATCATAGCCACCTTTTTCGGTGTGAGATACCATCTCGATAAAATTTTGTCGGTTTGTAACTTTACATAAGCTGAAGGTGAAAGAACAAATAGGTTGCGCCAAATAGAGGACCATTCCTCATGAGTGAACTCAATGCCGCAGTCTCGTGCCCATGCTGTTTGATATGATAGGGGCTTTGAGTTGGATTGTTGCTGTAATAAGGTGTACATTTTTTGATAAGACCACGAGTATTTGTGGTGTCACATTTCAGCATTGCTTCAAAGTCTGTTAGAGGAGAGTTCATTGATTCAGATAGATGTATTTGGGTGGTCATATGGTGTAGTTGAAAATAGTAGAACCACGGAATCTTATCATGTAATCGTTGTTCTAAGAGTATTTTTGGTGCAAGATCGGTGCCCACCGTTAGGTCTATCAGACAGATGATATTGGCCTGTCTCCAAGTTGGGGTTTGAGGGGCCAGCCTAAGACTATTGTTGCCAGCTCCAGATTGGCAAATTCCTGGAGATTTTGGGGTGGAGTCTGTGGATGGCAGGATTTGGGGAGGGGAGAGGCCTCAGTTGGATATAATACCATAGAGTCCACTCTCTAAAGCAGCCATTTTCCCCAAGGGGACAGATCTCTGTTGTCTAGAGTTCACTTGTAATTATGGGAGTGTTCTGGGTCCCACCTGGAGGCTGGCAACACTAGGCCTGGCAGCAACCACTGGGTGACTTGATACCACCCGATTTGCATGACTCAGCTAGGCTGAACTGCTTGCTGCCCTGGCCCTAGCTAGTATTTGGCTGGGCGACCACCAAGAAATACCAGGGGAGAAGAATGGACCCAGCACCCAGTCAGCGCCATGCAAGTATGCTTGAGTAGTAGTTGATGGGCCAATGGTTGATGGAGCGCACTGCACAGTCAACGGGAGAGCTGGAAATGGCCAAGATGTAAGGGAATTATATATATATAGAAAATATATAAGGATTCCTTCATTTACTTTGCTTGCTGTATCAGCTTATTGCCAAGGTGACCCGTTGGCGAAAACTCTGGCACACATGTCAGTCATCTTCTCTCCCCCCCTCAGTGGACATGTACTCTTTCTCAGATCCCTGACCTGCTTTTCTGTCTGCTGAGAAGTTTAGCACAAACTCATTGCCCTGACTTGCAAAGGCCTGTATGGCCTGGCTGGCCCTGTGTATCTGTGCCCTACGACTTTTACCACGACTTTGGCATCTGAAAGTGTCCAGTACCCTGAAGTGATTCTGCCCTTTGTCCCTTGCAGCCTCCTTCTTGCACAAGGAAATCTTGCACCCCCTCCTCGCAACTACAGCCAGGTGAGTTGTCTCTGACGGCTCCTCGTGGGGTGTGTGTGTGGCTGCGAGACTTTGCTCCAGCTGGGGGGGAGGGAGAGGCAGAAAGCTTGGCCGATGAAAGGGGCCTCCCGGCTCGGTTTTGCTTCCACTTTCCCCCGTAAGCAGCCTGTTGAAGGCGGAAGCAAGGATTTGCCTGGAGTTGTGCAGCTTCGCCTCCATCCCATGAGAAGGAGGTCTCCCAATGAAGGGGGGAGGAGGGGGGGGACTGGGTTGGGACCCAAGAGGAGAGCAACGACGGCCCTGCTCATCTGCATGGTGCTGGGAATGGCAAAACATTTCATGGTGGGGGCGGGAGGGGGGTAGAGCTCCATATGCTTGGCGGGAGGACTTAACAGTGGGGTCCTGCCTGCATTGACTCGTGAGCAAGTGGTGGTGAGTGGCTGGCGAGGAAGTGTGAGTAGGATCGCAGCTTCGGCCTGCATGCTTTTTACACCACTGTGGTCCCATGTTTCTGTCCTTTGAATTCCACCCCGGTCCCAGCTTTCTTTCCTTTTTATTCCACTCTGGTCCCAGTTTTCTGCCGTCTTGCTCTGCTCCCCCCTTTCTCCCAGTTGAGCTTCTTACCATCTGCCTGCCAGAGCGTCCGTCCTGTCTGTCAGCTCCCACCACACTGAGGTTGACACAGTGGCTGCCGGTTCTGTGGGCGGGACTCAGGGGACACAGCCAGGGGATTGGCAGACCATCAGAGTGGCAGCTGAGGGGGCCAAAGGCTGTGGGAGCGTGTGGAACGTTGAGGCAAGAGGGACACGAAAACACTTTTATATATAAGGAGAGATGGACAATGGATGAGAAACCATTAGAACAGGTTTCTAGCTTTAAATATTTAGGGGTGATGTTTCATCGGTCAGGCTCTTGGACAACTCAAATTGACTATGCTAACCATAACCTCGAAAAAGCCATCCTTGGTCTTTTTAGATTTTACAGGACAAGAGGAGGCTGCCTGATTCCTCCAACTATAGAAATTTACAAAATGAAGTTACTGCCCCAGCTTCTGTATGGAGCACTGATATGGGGCTTTGGAAATCTCCAATCTTTAGAAATTTCTCAAGACAAATTTGTGCGCCAGTTGCTCGCTGTTCCGCCATCAACATCTTCAACTGTGATTAGAACAGAATTATCTCTACCCTCAATAACAATTCTAGTTTATAAAACAACCATTAATTACTGGCTGAAGATCATCTTCTGTATATCCCCAGGCCTTTTGACTTTCGTGTATGGAGAGATGAAGTGCAGTTCTGTGTTGAGATTGGTGATTAGTTTTGGCTTCTCAGTAGAATACTTGAGGACTCTTGGATTCCATGCAGCCAAGCTACTCATAAAACAAAGATTGCTAGATCAGAGAGCTCAAACAGATGTAGCTGTCATAGGCAACTTGAGAACATCTATACTTCATAGACAGCTATCTCCCTCTCCCAACTCCTTCAGCGTACTTTACCAGTTTAAGAAATTGCAGGTACAGAAAGGCCTTTACCAGGGCATGTCTAGATATTTTACCGCTTGCAGTCTTGGAAGGCTATTTTAATAGGATACCATATAGGAAAATAGTATGCTCCTGTGATCAAAAGTCTATTGAGGATCTATCCCACGTCACATTTCAATGTACAAGATATGAGGTTGAATGTAATAGTTTTTTGCAGACCATAATATCCCATTTCCCAGGAAGGTTAGATCAGGAGAAATTAGTTATATTAACTGACAGACAGAGAAACATTCATTACTCTCCAAATGGCAAGATTTGCTCCCGCTACTATGAAGGATAAAAAGATGATGGGGCATGCTGACCATAGTATGTCTGGCCCGTGACTGCTTCACTCTGGGTTGTTATTTGTCATTTTTCATTTGTCTCTGGATTGTAAGGTCTTTCTCTCTTACTTTTAGAAATACAATTTTAATGATGATTTTGTATTTGTATTTTAATACTAATTGGAAAATGCTGAATTTTAAAATTATTTTATTATGTTTTTCCCTTCTAACTTTATCTTGGTGGAATATCCACCTTATTCTGTATTGTTGCTATGGCTTTTCTTTGCTAATGCAGCAAAGACTGATTGACTGATTGATTGACAATAATACAACATCTAATTTGAATGTAGACACAGGTAGCCCGACCTGGCAATAAACCCAGATGCCAACTTTGCTGCCAGATACACCCAGACAACATGATCACTGGACCTAACAACATCAACTACGTCATCTCAGGCTCATTCACTTGCACATCTTCTAACAATGTATATGCCATTAAATGCCAACAATGCCCTTCAGTTCTCTGCATAGGGCAAACAGGTCAAGCCCCATGCCAAAGGATAAATGGACACAAATCTGACATCAAGAATCACAAAATTGAGAAACCTATAAGAGAACATTTCAACCTCTCTGGGCACTCAATGGGGGACCTAAAAGTAGCTGTTTTATTGCAAAGAGACTTCAGAAACAGACTGGAACAGGAGACTGCTGAATTACAAGTTATTACAACACTCTTTATAAGTTATTACAACACTCAGGACAATGGAACCCCCCGGGCGTAACAGATATCAGCTTCTTATTTCACTACACATGCAAAGTCTCTCAGTTCTTGCTTATACCCAGAATTAAACATTTTTGGTCTTAAATGTGCCACTGGACTCAAACTTAGTTCTCACATCTGTTTGTTAATTCTTTTATTATTTGTATGCTAATTTGCTGCTATTCACAGGTCTTACTAACTGCTTTAATCCAATCTTAGCTATACTTATCACTCAGTTACTTATGCACCTTGACTCTAACTAGCCCTTCCTGGCAACTAACCCCCCCCCCCAAAAAAAATATATGTAAGGCTTGAGGAAGTCTGTTTCAATGTATCTGAAGAAGTGTTCAAGCACACAAAAGCTTATACCAAGAATTAAACTTTGTTGGTCTTAAAGGTGCCACTGGACTCAAACTTTATTCCAGTCCCAGCTGCTTGCTGTTGTTCAACAGCTGCCACCTCATGAAAGCCAGTGTGGTGTAGTGGTTAGTTTCAGACTAGGATCTTAGAGACCAAGGTCTGAATCCCCACTCTTCTGTGGAAGCTGACTGGGTGACCTTGAACTAGTTACCAATTCTCAACCTAACCTCTCTCACTGGGTTTTTGTGAGGTTAAATGGAAGAGAGGAGAATGTGGGTTCCCACTGTTCAAAAAAGCAAGGTATAAATTAAGTAAATAAAGCTGAAGGTGAGGGGCAGATAAAAGTTAGGTTGGTTGGTGGTAAGGAGAGAAGGAAGCAGGAAAAAGTTAAGATACGGGGTTGCCAGGAGGAAGGAAAGTATTTGTGAGGAAGGGGAACCAGGGGAAAGTGAAGAGCTCCAAGGGAACCTTGAGGGTTCCTGTAATGATTCCATGTTTTGGTGTGTGTGTTCCTTTAAATGTTTAGTTTGACTGCAGTAATATGAGAAGAGTGATAGAGGGTGACAAGTGTGATTTGATTGGCTGCTGACTGAGAGTGTGGGAGGAGATGTTCTGAGAGGAATCTGTGTGTGTATGTGTGTGTCTATGAAAGGATTCTGTGTGTAAAGTTTGAAGAGTGAGCATAGTCTGTGTGACTATGGAATTTTGAGTCTAATTCTAACAGTTTAGTCTGTGTGACTAAGAGAGTTGATTCTATTTAGTGTGAATAAAACAAAAAGACTAGCTTGTGTGGCTATATATATATGAGAGAGAGAGTATACTGAATGTATAAGCCTGTCAGAGTGGAGTTTGGCGTTTGAGATACTGTTTTGGTACCAAGCTTTGCCAGTTATATTTACAAGTTCCTTTCTTCAGCAACTGTTCAAAATAACCAGAAACCTATTTTGTTTTTTATTAAATAAATCAATTTTTGTTTAAACTTATCCCAGAAATCAATACAGTACTTCCTCAGGGCCATATAGTCCTCTGACGTGCCCAGAACCTAGGTCAGGGGTGTCAAACATGTGGCCCAGGGGCTGGATTAGGCCCCCGGAGGGCTTCTATCAGGCCTGCAGTGGAACTGGCTGTCTTCTGCTTCTTCTTCCTCCAGTTCTGCTGCTGCTGCATCATCGTAGGTTTGCAGCTTACAGACACACACCTGAACAGCATACTCAAGATTGCAACAGCACAGACATTTTGATGCAATAATTCAGAGCAAGGGGTGTCAGTTATCAGACACTGTTAAATAAACAAAATATTGCAAGAGTGCTAATGTTTTAAGAATGATTTTAAGTTAAAAAAAACCATGTTTGTGTTTGTGTCCTTTATAAAGTTTATATCTCCACTACCTGGCATTACATTTTATGAATGAATTTTATTGTTACGGCGCTTAGCCAGCAATTGTAACACTTCTCGATAACCTGGAGATTGTTTTTGATTTTGTATGCTGTTTGACGGGTCTTTGACCGTAATAAACTGATTGATTGATTGATTGATACATTTTATGATGCACATGGCCTGGCCCAACAAGGTCTCATTTATGTCAGATCCGGCCCTCATAACAAATGAGTTTGACATCCCAGCCCTAGGTCATACTACCAAAAGAGAGAGAATTGGAATTTTTAATTCCTGGTGGCAGCAGAAAACTACCAAGTTTATATACACAGAGAGTGTTTAAAGGTAAAACCGTCTCCCCAATAAGCGAGGACACCACAGTTCCTCACCATGCAATTGGGCCTGGTGGCTGGCACTGCACAACATGGCAATAGTTCTCCCGGACAGAGGAAGCCAGGGGAAAAGAAGGAGGGAAAACTGAAGACGGGAGGAAGATAAAGGCAGGTTGGCTGGTGGGCAGGAGGAAGAGAAGGAAGCAGGAAAAGGGGATTTGCTATCAGGGCTTTCAGGGAAGGTAAAGATGAAACAGCTGGGGAGAGAAAAATGAAATACACCTGCAAGTCCTTACAGGTTCCCTGCTTCTACAGTCATAATAGGTAGGACTACCAACTTGTTTGGATATTAAACTAAGCTTTATAACAATGAAAACATTGGACTCTTTAAAAATGTATTATCATTATACACATTATACCATACTAATTGTTGTCAAAATTATTTACATTTAATCAAAAAGGTAAACAAGAACGTTACACACACACACACACACATACATACACATATAGCATACATAGAAATTATCATTACCTAATGCTGCAGACTGTCTTACACAAACATTTTCACACCACACATTTTGAAGAAATCCTGCCTTTTATTTCACTCACTCCAAGAGCAAAAACAGAACAAAATATAAAGTTGGAGATGGAAAAAAATTTAACCGTTCAAAGACTTTTTCATGCTATACATTTACAGTGTGAACAGATTTCATCTAAGAAGCATTTACTTATTCTAAAATAAAAAAAATATTTCATACGAGGTTTTTTCAGTTTCTCTCCAAATTTCCTAATCTCTCTAAAAAAATCCTCAGGGGAAAAAAACCCCTCTCTCCAAATTCTTCTGTTTTTCTGGGCCTTCACATCTCTATACAGAATCAGTAAATGTAACTTATTCCATACCTGAGAAGAAACATGTGATGCAAAGAAGTCATCTTCTTCTTCTTGAGGTGACAGAGGAGGGGCTTCACAGCTGTTTAGCCACAACTAAAACAACACAGCATGTCACCATCTCATGATGCTCTCTCAATATTGTAATATTGTTTTAGCTATAATCAACACTGAGTTGGATATAATCTATGCTACCACAGAATTTTTGTTGAATAGTCAGGGACTTACCAATGTCCAGCACTACTTATGCTTACAGGGTTCTAAAAATATTAGGTCTCATATCATTAACTAAGTCTATTCTTCCTTCCCAAGAGAGGATCTATCTTTTGAAGTTCTTAGCACTGTGAACTAGGTTGACACTGATAGTTATTTATTTATTTATTTATTGTTTTCTGATAAGTTGTTAAAAAAATTATACGCTGTATTGTATGTTGTTTTGTTTTTTGTTTTTTTTGGACAACTGCCCGTGGTTATAATATAAAATTAAAAAACAAAACAATTTTTTTCCCCTTCCTCTCCCTTTCCTATGCAACCCACCGTGCTACCCAAAACACTGTTGCTCAAGTTTAGGGCATGGGGGTGGAGCAGACATCGTAATTCTTCACCCACTCACTTGAACCAGGGTTGCCAAGTCGGAATTTCGCTGCAGTGGGGGACTTCCGGCTGGTGGCTGGAGCGCATGTGCACGAAGCACGTCGCATTCACATCACTCAGAAGTGAAGCAACCACGCCCGGCACGCTGGGGGAGGGGCCACGACCATCCGAGGGGAAAACACAGAGTTTTCCCTCGGATGACCGTGGCCCTGCCCCCAGCGTGGTCGCGTCACTTCTGGGTGACGTGCACGTAGGGGTGGGGTTCCTCCTGGGGCCCAATCAGCCGCTGGCGGGGAATAGGCCTCTGGGGTGGGGGTTTCCCTGCCCCCCGGGGGGGGACTTGGCAAGCCTAACTTGAACAGAAATGCATTCCACCTCCAATACTCATGGGCTTTGTTTGCCTACAGAGTACACGTTAACAATAATGAGAATTGCTCAAAAATTTAAAAGGAGCTGCAATAAGCCAATCTTTTAAATTCTGATGCCTGATTTAGCATTTTGCCAAGGTTTCTAAGCTCCTGGTGAACTAAACATCTACTTAACACAACCGCATGAATTAACTGATTCAAAATTTAGTGCTGGTCTTCAAAACATTTTTCAATTCACATATTTTAAAGCAGGCAATTAATTGCCTCTACAAATTTGGTGGAGAAGATGTCAAGCACAATTTATCGCAACTCCAGCTTCCTTCCCAGGGACCAACGTATTCATAGCACTACTTCCCTCAACAGAAGCTCATACATCAGCTCAACAAGCCTGACTTGGGGAGCCTCCACACTTCAACAATGAAGAATTGCAAGATCCAGTGAGCACTCAGAAGAAGTTACTACTCTCTAACATACTTTACCAGAGGAGGTATGGAAAGCAGTGTCTTTTGGTACATTTTTTGAACTGACTGAAAGAGTTTTAATGTTATTGAAAGCTCTTCAGTGTTTTCTTATGCTTTTACTGTTTCCTGGTATAGTTATTTTTTTTACTTATCTGTGAATTGCTCTGAGTATGGAATACATTTATTATGATAATGATATATCTATTATAATTTTAATTAAGTTAGTAACAGACTTCAAACGATTTGGAAGCACAGTGCTCCAGGAACAAAAGTCAATCAATGACATAACATGTGCATAACTTACATTGGTACCATGTTTCCGTGTTGCTTGCGCTGCAAGATATTTAATCTTTTCCTTGTAAAGTTGAGCAGCACGACTGCTGTACTTGGCATTAGAGTCATTTGTTGTGCAACCATGCTGATGGAAAAATGCAGACTACAAAAAAGAGTGGAAAATGTTAGTTTAAAAAAAATTGTGACTGACATTCTTCCACTAAAATGAAAGAACGCTAAGCTATCCTTAAAGATGATGCACTGTTTCCCCACCTGAATCAATTAAGTCCCTCTGCCTGTGTTATACTGTGCCAGATAACTAAATGTCTTGAGAACAGAGGAAATCTCCTCATATAGTTCAAGAGAAAATTAAAAGGATAATTGGACACTTGCTGTGAAAGCTCCTTCTCCTCTGAGGGAGGGCATCTTAGCACAGATGATTCCCACCAATTAGTCAACGGGGCAGGATTTAATTATCAACTTCGTCTCTTTAGTGGTAGGGGGGTCATTCTGCTCCTCAGTTCAGTTCCCCCAGCTGTGGACATTTTCATTCACTTCATAACTGTAATAAGCTAAAAACTGAATGTACCAGTGCAGGCGGTGATGAAAAAGCACGAACAAATAAGAATATGAACATGGAGCCAGAAGGAAAACACAATGCGAAGTATCTCAACATGCCCTCCCTACTTCAGAACCGAAGGAACGTCCGTGGTAAGTGTCCAACATTCCTTTCTCATTCTGAGAGGAAAGCATCTCAGCATGGGATGTCCAAAACCAGGGCTCTTTTGTAGAAAAAGCCCAGGGGGTACTCATTAGCATAATATGCCAAACCCAACAACATAAACTCATTAGCATATTAGGCCACACCTCTGACATTAGCATATTAGGCCACACACCCATGTTACCAGAAGTGTGGTCATCCAGCCACACCCTTTTGCTTCTTATTCTGTTTACCTTGTTTGTTGTCAAAACGGTTTTGACAAAACCAATAAAAACGTTATTTTTTTTAAAAAGTTTCCAATTCCATACTTTTAATAATTAATATTATATTTATTTTAAGAGTAGCAGTAACATAAGCAAACATCTCAATAAACACTCTGGAACATGGAAAGATTTTATTCACCGTTTAATATTTCATGTGCCACCCACACTCCTTCGGATGGAAGAAGTGTGCATGCACACAAAAGCTTATATCTTGGACGAAACTTTGGACTCCAACTTTGTTCTGCTGCTTCAGACCAACATGGCTACCCACCTGAATTATTACACTATAATATTTTTTACAAGCAATTATGTACCGGTGGAGTGGTTACCATGCAGAGTCTGTCCCACAGGTAAAATGATCCTGTGAACAGGTGGGCTTTACCACATCAAAGTATCACTACCATCGCAAGATCACCAATCGTTGGAAGTCAACTCCTCAGAAGCAGAAATCTCTCTTATTAGGAGGTTTAAGAACATCAACTTTGCTGGCCCATTAAAGGCAGATGTCAGCCCAGTGGCAGGAGAAGAGGGACAATAATCTTCTTCAGAAACTCTGCCTACTTTTTAAATTTCACAAAACAGGCAATCTCCAAAGTGCTGTTGACAATGCTCATTTTTAGTTACAACTCTGTTTCTCTGCAGATGTCCCCCAAAGTCCCCCATGCAACAGTCAAGTGTTCTGCCAACACACACAACAATGAAGCTACTTTTTCAGATGTTTTCTCTTGCATGGCAGTTAGCACCAAACGACTTTAATACAGACTTTAGACACACGTATGTTTGCAAGCCATTCCCAACAAGACATGCCGCCTAGGCTCGGTTCGCAATTTCCAGTCATGCATTTCCCTTCCCTTCGCCAGTCTCCCCCCAAAGCCATCAACCGTGCAATCCTAAATAGAGTTACACGCTTCTGCATCAGTGAGGATGTGACTGTGTTTAGGACTACAGTGTAAAATTGCAAAAATAGAACTTTTCTAGTTCAGTGCAATTTTGATTCTCAGGACCAAAGTCCTCCTATACATTACTTCAGAAACCTTTTAATATTTTGTAAAGGCAGGTCAATAGCTGCAGCCTGCCACTGTTACAGATGTGGAACAGAGACTCAAGCCCTGTTCACGGGCTATGGTCATAAGGTCAGTGAACAGGCAGAATGGGAATGACATGACCAGGCCACCCCGGATTATTCACGGCAATGCCCACATGAAGACATCTGCATTTGCTCTTTGCAGACAAGTGAAGCAGCCCTATGCATTTCCATCCACATGGCTGTCAGCTGAGAGAACAGGGAACTAGAACATTTCAGTTCCTCATCCAGGCTGCTCATATGCCTCTCTGCCCCCATGGGGTGGCTGGAGAGCTGGGCTAGGACCTGAGAGACCCAGGTTCAAATTGCTTCTTTCATGAAGCTTATTGGGTGGCTGACTTTGGGCCAGTCACTCTCTCACAGCCTTCTACTCACAGGACTTTCATAGGGGTAAAATGGGAAAGGAAGAAATGATGCCTGCTGCCTCCTTGGAGGAAGGGCTGGATATAAATGTACCTACATGCCTTTCACCCTGGAGGGACTTGTTGGATCTCAGAAGGTAAGCAGGGTCAGACTCAGGCCTTGTATGTACTTGGCTGGGAGACCACCGAGTAAGTCCAGGGGTTGCTCTGCAGAGGCAGGCAATGCAAACAGCCCTGTTCTCTTGCCTTGGAAACCTGACAAGTTTGCCGTAAGTTGGCTGGGACCCAACAGCACTCCCCACTACCACCACATGAATTGATTGAGGCTGAATTCACAGATGCCCCATTGGACCACTTTTCTGCCTCTCCTCTGCTGCCGCCACACTAAAACAGAAAAGTAAGGGATCCAAGGGATCCCAGCCGGAGTTGCAACTCCATTGCTATTATTATTTCAGAAACAGAACAAAGTTTGAGTCCAGTGGCACCTTTAAGACCAACGAAGTTTAATTCTGTGCATAAGCTTTCGTGTGCATGCACACTACCCGCTTGAATCCACTACAATGGAAGCTTTCTCTTGGGAGCAGCAGTTTGAATTGGAATGGATTTAAAAATCCAAATTTTAACGTGATTCATGCATTGGTTAATTAATCCTGCATATTCATCTTTAAGCCTTTCTTTCTAACTATCTGCCAGTTTTATTACTTCTCCCCCAATATACAGTTCCTTCCTATTAACCCACCTGGATAAATAGGTATGTGCCATCAATTTGCAATTGCCAATTATGCCAATTATGGGGCTTTCAGGGGAAGTGAGAAGAAGAAGTGGTTTGCCATCGCCTTCCTCTGCAGAGTCTTCTTGGTGGTCTCCCTTCCATGTACTGACCCTACTTAGCTTCCAAGATCTGATGAGGCTGGGCTATGCCTGCCTTTCCTCTCCCCGAGATACCCATCCTTCAAACATTCCCTTTCTCCACATCTCCCTCTCTCCTTCCCTTCCGGTAGCAAAGTGAAATTGTGCAAACAAATATGGTGAAACTGGCCACCCAGATTAGCCAGTGGAACCAAAACACCAGAGGCAAGAGTGGCTGGAAGAGTAGGATTTCTTTACCCTAACATGCTGGAAAAGGGGAAAGGTAGGTGGGAGAGGAATTAATTTCTAATAAAGTACGGTGCTTTGGCCTTGACTTGAATAGCCCTGTCTCATCAGATTGTGGAAGCTAAATGGGTCAGTTCTGGCTAGTATTTGGATGGGAGACCTCTAAGGAATATTAGGATTGGCAGAGCCAGGCAATGACACACTACCTCTGAACGTCTCTTGCCTTGAAAACCCCTATGGGGTCACCATAAATCAGCTGCGACTTGAGGGCACTTCCCATCACCGCAGTGCTTTGAGCTCTGTACAAGGATGCTCCTTCATGGTCAAGATTTTTTATCACTCTTCTCTTGCCCCCCCACCCCATACTCAGCTGCAGATGACGGAACAAGAACCTTGCCCAAGCTGGATCCACACAGGCACACTCTGGCATGCCTGCGAGTGTTCTAAATCCCCTCAGTCCCTTGTCAAGGGTTCAAGCGACTTGTACTTAAAAATCGGCCAGATAGAAACCGTTAAAACCCCCTCTTTCAAAAGTCAGGAACTCATATAGTTGCTGCTGCCTCAAGGTCAGCTCCATTCAGACAGCTATAGGCCTGAGATTCCCTAGTTAATAAAGACTGATAGTTATCTTAATTAAAGTTGGGGGACCCCCAGGTTTGTAGAAAAAAATGAAAAAGTTAAAAAATACATGGGGGGGGGGGTTTAATGTCCCCTCCAAAACAATACTGTTGTCTTCACAAATGCAGACAATGCAGCTACCTCTTCTGTTGTTGACGGGGCAGGAAGCCACACGGGCAGAAGCTGGGAGTTGTGTCGAGCCCAGCAGCAGAGGCTGTGAGCCATGCCAAGTCTGGCCATGGTGATGGGGGGAGGTTGGGAGCTGCAGCTCCAAGGAAATGGGACTTGGGTAGGTTTAGGGGGGATTCACTACCATTGAGGCATGGAAACTGGTGTTGGTGCTGTCACTACAGTGAACCTGGGGTTGAGTGAATTTGGGAGATCCCTCCCCCATGATTCTCGTGGGGTCCCCATTTCTACTATCCTACAATGAAGCAAAAAACAAAAGGGCCATACCAGTTGCCGGCCCAGAAAAATGATGCAATAAAAAAACAATGATGCAATAAAAGAGAGCAGATATTTATTGTTAATAATCCCTACATGTTTTGCATTGGCTTCATCATGGGACCTGTAAGATAACATTAATAAGAATTAACAAAAAAAAACCTCTCACAAAACAAATCTGCATACATTCTTAAAACAGAACATAGATTATATAAACATATTTAAAACGCCTACATCCAGAAATGTTAGGGTTTATAAACATGTTTTTCAAAACATAAATTTGCTGAAGCCAACCAATCACTCATGCATGTATCAAAGCACAGAGAGACCACACTTATTTGAAAATTTCAAAGAATATTAAAACAAACTTTATATGTTACATTAAAAGCACCATTTCCCACATCTACTATGTCACTTAATCTCAACATAAACCCTTAGGATATGGTCTCTTTAGTTTGTAGAATTCTCCCCTTAGTTTCTGACACCACTGACTTTTTGCCATTATTGTCCTAGCCATTTTCATTTGTAAATTATGCAATTACACAAATTAAGCCAATTTGGATTTTTATCTTGCATAATTTATTCATCAGTTTTTGTTATTTTGCCAAACTTATGCTAGGTCTGCTGGTCATGGGAAAGACCAGGACATGTAAACCTTCTCTCCAACCAATGAAGAGTGAAGATATGGCTTCTGAGACTTCAGTGGGTGCTCGTCACCCTCTTTCAAGCATAAATTTCTAACTTTTACAGGTTTTTCTAAAGAAGAAAGCTATATTTTCAGGAAAAGGGACTCAGCAAAACTTACAGCGTTAGCATTTCCTCCAACTTGCATACACCTCAACTGAAACCATGACCAGTTAGAATCCAATTCTGTAGACCTGCAACAACAAAATACTAATATTTTAAACCATGATTTTTCAATATGTTATTTAAAAGCTGTCTTCAATGTGCTAAATGTTTTGATTTAGAGAATATTAGTTTTTTTTAAAAAAAAAATTGCAAGACTTTTAGAAAATGTACCCTTTAACTTCCAGTCTACAAATGTACCCTTAATTTCCAACCCACAAATACAACCTACTTAAAGGTCAGAGTTAATCAGTGGGTCTCTTTGAAGTATATTAAATTGTGCACATGGTGTAGTTTCCCACAAGAAAAATTGGTAACCAGCCATAATGGTCTGGTAGTTGGCCACCCTGAGGCCAAGAAATGCAAAAGATCTTACAGCCAATGACATCAAGTTTTCTGCCTTCCCTGTCAGTAGGGGGAGCATATTACAACTGTTAGCCCTTGGGTTGCATTTCCTCCGTCACTAAAGATAAGGGTTGTGGGTGAGTAGTTAAATAATTGATAGAGTCCTGTTTTATTCTGTAGAAATTTTTGACTCTCCTTGATGTGGCCTGGAGAGGTGCAGGTTTTTGCTGAAACTCCTGTGTTAAATCAAGTAAGCTTTCCAACATGGGAAAGGCAATAACACCTGGCGATTCAGTGTAGAGATGCCCCAAAATCTTGTCCTTGGGTCAGATGTGGCCACATTGATCTCAAGAGACTGAGCCATTCTGAGCATTAGCTCTCCATACGTGCAAAGATCTTCAGTGGGGGATGCAGGGGCATGTCCTACCGGTTCATCAGGGCCAAGGTCAGATGTAGGAGCCAAGTCAGCCTCTGAACGAATAGTTCTATCCTTGCTGTAATCTGCATCCGACACTGGAATCAGCGTAAGAGATTTTCTAGAAACTGTGGCTGAAAGATACAATGGGATCTTTTATTGTGAAGCTCAGTATTGACTCGTGGCTAACCTGGATCCACGGATATAGCTGTTGCCTCATTCAGCTAAGTACACAGGCGACATCGGGAGGGATGCAGCGATCAAGGTACAGTCACCCAAGGCTGGGACCACGGAATCACTTGACTGGGCTCAGATTTGAAAACATCTGGAACTGAAACGGCCTCCTGTTCTGCTTCAATCTCTCCTTCAGAAATCAACATGAGGGGCGATGATGGCCTGGGAGATGGTGTCTTCAGAAGAGAAAAACCTCCTGCGGTTCAGGCGTCTGGTCTGGTACTAACACAGGGGTGTGATGTGTGGATTCTGATTTGCACTTCTCCTTGGGTCTTTTAGCCAGTGGTTCCAAAGAACACCTTTGAACTCCAGGGGACCACAATTCCAAAGGGCTGTGGTGTGGCTCTGAACAGGTTATAGACAGAGCTGGCCCAACAGAATTGGAGGAAGACGGCTTTGACGATCCCTCCAGAGCTGAAGCCAGATCCTGTGGACTGGAAGCTTTTTGGGCTTTTTCCCAAAGGGCCACTTTGAGTTTTGATGCCCAATTACTCCTAACTTTGGGGATAAAATGCTGGCAATCTTTGCACGCGGATACATTATGCCCCTTTCCCAAACAGAACAGCGCTCGTTAATCTAAGTCATCTTGGCACCACAACATGAGCATTTTTTGAACCAAGCTATCTGAGCTATGATGGTCCAGAGAAGGGAAGATTGCCACTGCCCAGAGGTGGGGGAGCAAGGGTGAGACAGCTACTCACAAGAATGACAGTAGAGAAGTTACTAGCTTGAACCTTCTCATTCAGCAGCAAGAAAGGAACTGAGGGTGGAGGCGCTGGAGCACATGACCATTTGGGCAGGAATAGCTTCTTCCGGCTCTGGTGTTCAGCACCCCCTGGAGGCTTTAGCTTGTAAAACCTCTCCACAGCAGGCTTCTCAATAGCAGTCCCATGACTGCACAGAATATTAACAATTAACATAAAAAGAGCCCTGCTGGATTAGACCAGCAGTACATCTAGTCCAGCATCCTGTTTCACATAATGGCCAACCAGTTACTCTGGAGGTCCAACAAAAGGGCATAGAGGCCTTCCCCTGATGCTGCCTCCTGGCACAGATATTCAGAGGTCAATTGCCTTTGGATGTGGAAGTCCCTTTAGTCACTGTGGCTAGTAGCCACTAACAGATATATCCTCCATGAATCTGTCTAGCCCCCTTTAAAGCTGTTTATGCCTATGGCCATCCCTACATTCTCTGACAGTGAATTCCACATTTTAATCACTCACTCGGTAAATAAGTATTTCTTTTTGTCTGTCCTGAATCTAGTGCCCATCAGCTTCATTGAATATCCTCAAGTTCTAGTATTTTGGGAAAGGGAGAAAAACTTATCTCTGTCCACTCATCTATCCCACAAATAACTTTATAAACATCTGATCTGATGTGCCCCCACTGTCTCTTTTCTAAACTAAAAAGCCCCAGACTCTTCAGCCTTTCCTCACAGGAAAAGTGCTCCAAACCCTTAATCATCTTGGAAGCCTTCTTTTGTACTTCTTTGGAGCAGCAAGAAAGAAGCCAGGCTTCAAAAACTGAAGCTGCACCTCCTTTAGCACAGTAAGAGGAGGCAGAACATTGGCTTCCTAAGAATGAATTAGAATCCAAAGGGGAAACAAAACTTGTACACGTGTTTCAACACCAACCACATACAGTAACAGGATGGCAAATATATCCAAAAACAGAAAGTCCCTCTATTACTCATATAAACAAACATTAATTGTGGGTAGAAGACTGTACCATACTAGCTCCTGTAAACAGAACTATCCTCTCTTTCAACAGTTATTATACTATCTGATATAATGGAACAGAACAGCACGGTTCAAATATCCATGTTATGTTCTCAGGTAATTGTTGAGAATTGAGACTGATCTTTGCTTTTTATGGATTTATATTCGCTGACACACACACACTACATGGACTGTGCACACATATACACCCTTAGGCTCAAAGGAAGCTGCTTGAATCACCTGTTGTGACTGATACACATAGGAGGTACCTGCCTGCATTTCATGTTAATGAAGCTTGCAAATACACAGCTCCTAGCCTGGAGGGAAAGCATGCCATCACCACTGTGGTTAGCAGAAACAACAGCTTAAGGACAAGCAACCCCCCATTGATGTACTGTGGGAATACACGTCCTACACCTATCTACTCTACATCTGAAAGGCCATTTCCTGGCAGATGCACTTTGATTACCTGGGAAAGCCTAGATTTATCTGCACATCAAGGAGGTTCCTTGACGCCAAGAGTTCACACTTGACCAGATGGTTTTTCCGAGAGTTAGAGGTTAGAGTTTCAATATTGACCAAACCCTAAGTAACTACCCCTCACTACACGCACCAATAGTTGTAGGGATGGGACGGACTTACAGGTAGGTGGATCTTCAGATTGGCAAGGTTGCCATCCACCCAAAGATTCACCTATAAAAGCTAAGGACCATGTGCTTGGTCTTTTGCTAGCTGCAAACCCTCCATCACCCCCTGTCTGCTTTTACCTCCTAACGTCCAGCTTGCTTGATCTCTTGGTATGCACAGCTAAGAGGTCCACACTCGCTTGCTGGTTCTAGCAGTGTGATTTAGAAACATCCCTAGGTTCTATTTTCTATACCCTTCATTCTTCATTGCAACAGACAAGGCTTCAGGACAGATAAGTATGAACTGTAACTCTAAAGGAAACTTGATTGAATGTGTGTGTGTATCTGTATCGATTGAATGTGATTTTGATATATTCTTAAGTAAAAGACAGATTGTTTCAAATTCACCAGTCTCGACTCATTTACTGGGAAATCCTCGGGGTGGACTGGAGTTCAGTATACACAGGCAGGAACCCATATAAATTTAGTCTGCCAGCTGTTGTATATAAAGCAGTTCGGCTAACAGAATAATTGGAGGCACCACTGGGATCTGCCCTGCGCGTGCGCGAGAACAAGCGAGTTGACACGCTATCTCTCGCCTCACGCAGACATAGAGGAATAGTCCGCTCCAAGGACCAGTGAGGGTCTGTGTGAGAGGTTTCTGTCTGCGAGCCTGGCTCTTTAGAGAGCACTCTATCGTGGGAGGGTTTCCTTTGTCTCTTTCCGTCTGCAACCCTTGAAGCAACCCTGCGCCACGCTTCCGATCTATCGCGGGTGGGAGAACAAAACGAACGGAGTAGGACAATAGGAAAGTCCCAGTTTGCACCAAGCACAACACACACACATGTACATACACCCCACCTTTCTTTGAAAGGATGTATTTTAGGGAAGTGTGTGTCGTTTGCACAATCACTCTTGCTCCTCCTATGATGAATTCCCAGTGAGTAAGGCTCCATACCAAAGCTAGGCAGACCTTTTCACATGGTGTGTATTTTTGTTCCACTGAGTTAAGATTCCTGGAAGCATACGCAATTACTCTCTGTGTTCCAGTTTGTTGCTGTGTCAGCGTAGCGCCAATGCTTTGCTCTGAGTGGGCTAGCTGGATGCAAAAAGGCTTTCCCGTGTCTGGGTGCGCGAGGGCGGGAGCGGATGCTAGGCTATGCTTCAAAGCAGCAAAAGCCTGCTGTTGCTCGGGACCCCAGTGCCATTGGGCGTCCTTCTTTAGCAAAGCGTAAAGAGGTCACGCCTTGTCAGCAAAGGCTTCAATAAAGTCGCAGGAAAAGTTAAAGGTACCCAAGAGTGCTCTAAGTTATGGCACATCAGTTGGGGCGGGCAGACGGGGGAGATGACTTCCAATTCTCTGCGTGTCTGGGGCCCTGCCATTGGGTCCTAGTGCTAGTCCCAAGTGTCAGTGACTTCTTCAGCTGTGGGGGGGGTGACAAGAATGAGAGCACGTGAGCCTTTGACGAGGGTTTCAGGTGCTCCCACATTTGTACAACGTGTGCATGACAAATGCTGGGGCTGGAGCCTTAACTTCAAACACCGCCTCCTAGTCTTCCACCTCCAAGGCAAGAATGAAGAAGTCCTCTAACTACTATAAAAAATATAAATATAATACAAAACAATTCTCACATATTTAGCTTTAGAGCACATAAAATCAAGAGTCATGTGTCATAAACACTTTTACTACAATATGGCTGGATTCTCCCCTCCCCCCACTCAACATGATAAACAGACTTTTTACCTAATAAAACTCAGGTGGACCCCAAGGGATCGATGGGTCCCTGAGCAATCAATGCACAGGAACACACCATACGTTATGCTTGCCCAGCTTGGGTTTTTTACTCCACAGTCAAAGCAGGCCTAGAAAAAAACAATTACAATTTGGTTAAATAGTTACATTAAGATTTATTCAGTATACTAATTTCTACACTGAAACATATGGAACAGGAATTTCTCTACTTGAAGTTAATAATTTAGAATGTATCCATCCATGCAGTTCCCAGGGTGGAACGGTACTTTCATTTGCGGAAGAAGGGGCGGTGATCTCCACTGATTCTTCATCCAATCATAGACCCCCAATTTGCCCCCTATACTGTTCATGTTTTGGCCTGAAACAAAATTTCAGTGGGCTGCAACAGGTGGGGGAAAGTCCAACTCCACAAAGTCTCAATGCCCAGAACGAAAAAAAGAATATTTTTGTGGGTTTTTTTTTTTTTTTTTTAATTTATAATTTTTTTATTTAGATAACATTTACAAACATTCTTTTTTCAAATAACTTGAGTCTTAATTAACATTTACATACGTTCATTCTTTTATACTTTTGAGTCTGTCTTTTCCCACATCTTGTTGATCCATTTATATACTCTTCCCCATCTTTTACTAAACACACTTTCATCTTTCCCTTGAAGGATTATAGTTAGTTTATCCATTTCCGCTACCTCCATTAGTTTAATTAACACTTCCTCTCTTCTTGGGAATTTATCTTGTTTCCAATATTTAGCCATTAATATTCTAGCCGTGGTCAATATATATGTTAATAAGTATTTATCACTTTGGTTGTAATCCTCAGGTATCATATTCAGCAGGGCTATTTCCGGAGTTAAATCCAAATTTAACTTCATAATATCCATAATAAGTTTTAGTATCATTTCCCAATACTTCTCCACTTTTCCACAACGCCACCACATATGGAAAAAGGTCCCTATTTTTTTTTTACATTTCCAACATATTTTAGACATTGATGGGAGACATTTCGCTATCCTATCTGGAGACCAATACCATCGATGATAAACCTTATAGATATTTTCTTTATAGTTGATCGCTCTTACATATTTCAGTGACTTCCTTGTACTTGCCCATTGGTCTATCGTATGCCCTATATCCTTCATCCATGCTATCATGGTTGAGCTAACCATTTCGTCTAACATATACTCTTCTAATAAAAAGCTATATACTCTCTGGATTGCTTTATCACTTGAGGATAGCCAGATCTTATCTAATAGTGTTTTTGTTTCTTGAAATCCTACTATCATATCTTTAGCGTGTCAAGACCTAAGTTACATGGCTTCCCACCAAGTTAGTTTTATTTTGTACAGCTTTAATATTTTTTCTTCTGATTTTAATCTGTAATTTTCGTCTAACAATGTTTGATAACTTTCTCTATCGCACAGGTTTATAAGAGATGGTTTTATATAAGCTTCTAAAGGTGAGACCCATTTCGAAGTTTTCCTATAATATTTCTCTTTAATTTCATCCCATACCCATAATAACGCTCCTCTGATCATATGTTGCTTGAAATTTGAATGTATTTTATCTTTCCTGTACCAGATGTAAGCATGCCAACCCATACTCAGGTCATGCCCTTTTAAATTTAACATTCTTGTATTGTCTAAAGTTAACCAATCCTTAATCCAAGATAGTGCTGCCGCCTGGTAATATAATCTCCAATTAGGCATTCCAAAAACCCCTCTCTCTTTTCTATTTTGAAGTGCTTTCCAGTTGATTCTTGCACGCTTTGGATACCAAATAAATCTTTTTATCTCTTTATCCATTTTGATAAAGATTTTAGAATTTTTTAGTATGGGTATATTCTGGGCGAATAGAAATTTCGGTAATATCATCATTTTTATAGTATTTATTCTCCCCATTAAAGATAGTTGTAAATTTTTCCATTGTAAGATATCTTTCTTAATTCCCTCTAGTAGTCTGTAATAATTGTCTTTGAGAATTGTACTATTTCTATTGTCATTCCTAAATATTTAATTTTTTCACTATCTCTATATTTGTTATCGTATATAATTCTTGGTTTACGTTAGCCATACAGTTTTTTGTTATTATTTTAGTTTTCTTCAAGTTTATTTTTAATCCTGCTTTTCCTCCAAATTCTTGTGCAATGAGAAGTGCCTACCCACCACTATTTTTGGTGTGGTCTTCTGCAGTCCCTTTAAACTTTAGTTTAAACTTTAAACAGACACAGAAAACAGCCTGAAACAACTGGGCAGAAGGGAGTGCCTCCCTAACACTCAGCTGCTTTTGCAGCTTTCACAGGGAACAGAAAGCAGGGACTTAAAGGGACTTGGAGTCCCTTTAAACCCCCACTTTCTGCTCCATCCATGAACCGCACAAACCACTCTAAAAGAAGTTCATGGAGTAAACCCGTCACGAAGTTTTGTTTGTGAGCCACAAACAGAGCAAAATTTTGCTTTGTGGTTCAGCTCGTGGCCAACCCTACTCACCATTCTCTGGCCTATTTCCATGCCTTGCTTCGTAAGTAGAAGACAAATGAGCTTGAAGGATGGTTAAACTCTCCTTCCAGCCCTCCCACTCTGAATCACTGCCAGCCAGGTCAGAATTGAGTAGCTCCTGCATCAGGAGACAGAGAGAAGTCTCATTGTCCTTTAGCAGGGGCAAGGGCTCAGCTGGGACCCAGCCAGGGCACTGCATGAGAATGCATTCCACACCTTCCAGTCCCAGCTGAGCAGCCCTTGTAGCAGAGGTGACTGTCACTTCTATCAGGAAGCTCGTTCTAATATAATTTCCCCTCTACTTGATAATTTTTCAGGATGTTCTGATGTTTATATTTTAAAGAAACTTTTAATGGGTGTTAATCAATAGGTTACTGTAATGATTCCTTGTTTTATATGTGTGTGTGTCTCTTTAAAAGTTTGGTTGCATGGCTGTGTGATGGACTAGAGTGCTTGAAGAGACAAGTGTGGTGTGATTGGTGATTGACAGAGAGGGGGAGGGGTTTTAGAAAGTGTTTCTGAGTGGATGAATGGGTATGTCCTTCAGGAATGACAGTTAGAGGTTGGACAGTTGATAAATACAGTAGTTAAGTTAGTTCGTTCTGTGTTCTGAGGGGGAGAGACAGTCTTGTGTGTGATACAAGAGTTAAGTTCTGTGTATGAAGAAAACTTGAATGTATAAGGAAACAAAAGTTAAATGAAAGTCTGAGTGACAGACTGGAGTGGAATAGGAAACGTATATGACACTGAGTAATGAGTTACAAAGTTACTTGAAAAATCCCTGTCAGAAAGGGAGCAGATCTTGTGTGTGAGACACAACGAAATTGCTAAAAGTATTCACATTACTGGTTACATTGTTCTACACTTTAATCTATGAACTGTTTCAATAAATCTTCTTTTATTTAAGTCTGCCAGCTCTGAAAGAAATAATTTCTCAGGAAACACATAGACCCGCATGAGACTTAAAAACTCGACCTACCTATCCAGTGATAGCCAAAAGAAAGTATAAAGGTTTGGAAAGCCTAAAATTTCCTGGTGGCAGCCTAACCTACCCAGTGGAACAAAATAAAAAAAAACACTTTAAAGTGAAACCAGGCCTCCCAGATAAGGGGTCGTCAGTTACCATTAGCTGTGCCCAAAAAAATTCAGTAGCCTGTAGATTTCGTAGGAAAAAATATGTACAGATTTTAACTAATTGTTGCCAATAGATGAGACCAATTTTACTTTCTAATGACTTTACTGTAAAGTTTTTATATTTGACTTGTACTGGTCATTGGCTGAATAAAGACTGATTGATTGGTTTGGAGAGCCATAGCTATAGCGAAGCTATATCCATTGAAGCCTAGTCCTATGCAGGGCAATAAAGGCCACTCCACCCCCCAATAGTGTTGGGTTTGGAGCTTCTCTGGGAAGACAGAGTCTCTTTAAAAAGGTTTTCTTGTATACATTGAGGTTGTGATCACACACACTAAATAATCCACTTTCGATGCACTTTCCAACTGGATTTTACTGTGTGAACTGGCAAAATCCAGTTGGAAAGTGTACTGAAACTGGTTTGAAAGTGGATTAGTTATTGTGTGTGATCAAAGCCTGAGAATGCCAGTATGCAGGAATCCACTTCACTGTTTTCTCTGGACCTGTTTTGACACTCAGTACTTCTATTGGGGAGGGGGCAACACCTCAACTGAGAGTTATACTTTTTCAACTTTAGTTGTTGGTGGACTATAATCATGAAAAGCTAAGCTTATTCCTGGTGGTGGGAAGGAAAATTGCCCTTCATGTCCTGGTATCGGACTGGTGTGAGAGCAACATAGTGCTTTCTAGGGCAGAAAGGAGTCCCATCAGTCCTGGGAACCATCAGGGGTCTGTGCTCCAGGGAGGAAAAATAGACCTTCTCCAGTTATTTGCTGGGTTGAGGGATCCTTGCCTTACTCCATCAAGTACTGCAAGTCAGAGCTGGAAAAAGAATATATGCATCTGTGCTTGTTCTGGTCCATGCTGTTAGACCAATGCCTCCTCTGTGGTCTTGCAGCTTAACTGGAAAGTACTGCAGTAAGGTCTAGAAAGACCTCTGCTTCACAGACAGTGATGGCACACTGTGGTGAGTTGGGCTCAGCTATAAAAGTGGCCCCTGCAAAGGTTTCCCTCCTGTGGGACCATATGAGACCAAGAGCTGAGAGTATTGGATGGGAGAACAGAAAGGAATGCTCCTGCCGTTGCTTCTACGCCTCTTCCAGGTCTCATGATAGGCCAGACCCTCACTCCTGGTGCCAAAGCTATGGGTACAGTGCCAGAACTCACAGCACATTAACCCCTCCCTCTCTGCAGAGTTCTATATAGCAAGGCATGGAAGACATTTCCCAAGACTGGCTTGGAAACCCTTAATGCAGCACTTTCCTAGATCATCTTTCCCTTCTGAAAAAATGTTAAGTACCCAGCCTGCAATCAACAAAAAACCTTGTTAACTGGCTTAAACAAAATGCTGCAGGGCAAGAGGAATCAGCAACCTTCTGCTATGGAGGAAGAAGAAAAACTGTGTCAGGGAGGCAGAATTTGGAAGATGCCTCCAAATCCATTCTCAGCCAGCACTTTTTTCTTCAAAGAAAGATACCTGTA